GGCGTTTTCTTTGTTTAATATTTTTGACAGTAATTCAACTTCTTTATGAAATGTGGGTTATTGGGATTATCTATTTCTTCCTGTGTTAATTTTGATAGGTTGTATTTTTCATGGAATTTGTTCATTCACATAATTATCAATTTTATTACCATAAAGTCATTCATAGCATTTCTGAATTATCATTATAACCTGTAAGACTGATAATGATATCCTGTCTTGTATTCTTATATTAGTAAGGTGTATTTTCTCTCTTTTTTAATTGATCAATCTTGTTAGAGGTTTACCAATTTTACAAATCTTTTCAAAGAATCAATTTTTGACTGTGTTAAAAATTCCTGCAGCTTGTTTTCCAATATACTGACTTCTGCTTTTATACTTATTATTTCTTTCTTTCTGTGGGTTTACTTTCCTTTTTGTTCTACACTTAAAATGGAAATTTGGATAACTAATTTTAAACCTTTCTTCTTTTTGAATAATACCAAATCAAAGCTATTAATTTCCCTCTAAGCACTGCTCTACCTGCACCCCACAAATTTTGAAATATATTGATTTTTCATTATCATTCAATCTAAATATTTCCTAATTCCTCTTAAAATGTCTTCTTTGATCCATTGTTATTTATAAATATGTTATTTAATTTCTAAATATGTAGGATTATCTAAGTAGTTTAATACATGGTCTGATTTCATTGTGGTTAGAGAACATACTCTGTAAGGTTTCAATATTTTGAAATTTATTGATATAAAACAAATATATAACTTACCTTATAGAAAGTAGAAAGTGGCCATCAGAGAGGTGTAAATAAAATGCCATGGGCGTTAGAGGAGGGAGATGTAAATTCCAACTGTAGTTAACAATGGAAGACTTATGGAAAACTTACAGTACTTGAGTTGGGTTTTGAAAGATAGCATTGGGAAATAAGGAGATACAGGGACAGCAGGCAGGAAAAGCTAAAATTAGACTCAACTTTCTTTAAAAGGAGTAACTATGATTATCTTTTATGAAACCCAAGGCCTCAGAGCACTGCTGGAAAAGTGACTAGAGACCCATGGCCCCAGTATTCTTCTCTCAGTTTCCTCTAAATATCTGTTTTCAAATAACTACTTAGACATTTTAAACTCTGAATCTGGCCACCTCCTGTTTTAGAAACTGAAGCAGTACCATGTACTTTAAACTCACAATGATAAGGGCCAGATTTCATAACTTGAAAAGCAATTTTCTTTTTATTTTTAGAATATGCACCATTCTACAATTTCTTTTTCTTCCCACAGATCTGGGAGCATGATGAGTGTGATACACTGAGATATTTGTGTTCCTAGTCACAGCCTTTCCCTTTGGGGAAGTTTAGACTTCCCAATGATGTCATTAGAGAAAAGCTTCACTTATCTCTATGGTCACATGGCAAGAGTCACTCTTAGAAGTGTCATGGGTAGAAGGCAAGTGTCTCCTTGGCACCTGTGTCAGCTGAAAAAAGCTCCTGGTCAGAGCCCTCTAAGGGAGTGATACAAGTAAGTTTGGGCCTGAGATCATTACCCATCAGCTAAATACATGTAGACCACAGTTCAGATCTGCATACTCCCAGATCTGTGCGAGTTGAGTCTAATCGTAGTTTCTCCTGCCTGCTGTCCCTCTGTCTCTGTATTTCCCCATTCCCAAACACACAGAGGCCACAATTTAGATCTGCAGCATCTTTAGGGGCGTATAGCCACCATCCCAGAGCTCCAGGGCAGGGCTGGTATTTTCTTCCCCATTTCATATGCCTCACACCCCAGAGTGGCATTTGTGGAAGTTCATCAAGTGGATAGGCAGGGCCAGCCTGAGCTTTTCTCTTCCCTGAGCTCTGGCCCACAGTAGGAGTGGCCTTTACCCTGAACTTCCCTCTGAGAGGTAAGACTGTTGCCCTTATCTTTGATGATTCCTGGGGGTTGAGTTCCCAGTGTGGAAAGGTTGGTTTGGAATGTTTTCTCAGATGTATTCTGACATGCTAACACCCACACTGCTGCTTAAACTCAATAGTCCTGCCAGCCTTGCCAGATGTCATGGTATTTTGCTGCCATAGATGCCTCTGGAGGAAAGGAGTAAAGGGCTGACCTGGAATAAACATGAGCCCTTGATAGCCATGTCTCAACAGACTGAGAAGCCACACCAAGTAAAGTGTGGCTATTAAGACCTCTAGTTACAGAGAGAATCATTCAACATAATTCCTGGCAAGAAAGGGGTAATCCAAAGTCAGGTAAGGTCAGTCTTCTGTGGGTCTAGTGAAGCCTGTGTGAAGAGTTCATCTTGATGCCTCATTTGGCCTTGCCGAAGTCAGTGGCCTTAAGCCAGAAGCTATATGGGGCACACTAGCATATAAACAGGGCACACTAGCATGCCTGCCCATGTGTGACACATTTTAGCCATGTGTTTACAGTGAAACCTGGCCAAAGGACTCCACCTCCAGTGAGCAGCCCCTCCCTGGCTTTTGCAACTCTGAGTCTGGAAGGGTTCCCTATCCAGGATGGTGATGAAGATAAAACTCTCCCTAGAATGTCTCTCTTCAGAGGCAGTCTGATGAATTAATGTAGGAGACACAGACCAGGGATAAGAGCAGAAAGTGCCTGTGATGGCATCTGGTTGTGAGGCTTTCAAGGCTGGATGGCCTCAACAAAGCCTGCCAGTTCAGTTCTTAACACTGGACATCTAGTTCCCTCCCCCTCCAAGTGAGGAGGGCAGAAAATATAAGAAGACTATGGGCTAGAAGCCCTCCGAGGCTAATTGGGCTGGGTGAGTTTGAGAGAGTTTAGTGACAAACACTTCAAACTCAAGTCCAGTGCCTTCCTTCTGATTGGTGCTTTAGATTGACCACCCTCATCTTAAGTTCATAACTTTTCCTCCTTCTCCTCCCTACTTTCCTTTCTCTCTCATAGTAGAAGGGGCCAATATTTGGAGAAGTACAAGATTAGGAGGCACTGGGGCCGAGACTAGGAAATAAAAAAAGGTCTAAGTGAAAAAACTAAATGACTGATCAGGACTTTCAGCATATGTTTGTTAAGAGAGAGGTGGAGGGAAACTGATAACCAGAAAGGCCAAGAGAGGTCTTCTTGTGAATGTCTCCTACGGATTCTGATAGTGCATTTATAAGCCAAGCCAAATGCCACAGACAGACATATTCTAAACATAATGGATTCCATGGGCTTGGTTAAAGTGGATGTCATACTTTTTGAGATGTTTCCAGTATCTTCCCAGACTGCGCCCAGAGCACTAACTCTTACAACAACCTCACCGAAACAGGAGTGCCCTGGAGTGCTCCACCCTCCACTCTGGGGGTTAGGCTTTGTGCTTTAGCATACATTCCCAGCACTTATTAGAACTTCCTCCTTGTACAAGATACCTGGGCTCCAACATAACTGGTTTACATTTAAGTGTCCAAATGTGATTATATAACTTTGATTCAATTAACTGGTCTGACTTGATTCGAGCCTTGCTCAGGAATGAGCCAAGTAGTCATCTAAATAATAATTAAAACAAGACAAACCAGCCTTGCTGGACTCCAGTGTTGGGAACTGAAGGAACTTCCGAGTCATCAGATGGAGTTGATGGATCCAGAAGCCCGACTCCCAACACTGTGCTCACTTGCCTTTGAGGCTCAGCGTTGCAGTCTGGGGCTCCCCAGCCGTGGCCAGCAGGGACTCTCAATTGCTTCCTCTTTCCAACTTAGCAATGATGAAAGGGAGTCTAGGTGCTGAAAGCAGAGCCAGGATTTTGCTTCAACACAAAGGGTTGAAGGCTCATCTGATCCAACCTCCTACCCAGTTTAGGAACCCCTGGCTGTCGTCACACCTCTGCCTGGCCTGGGTTAAGAACCAGAAGCCCACTACCCCCACCAGTCTTAGATGGTTCCAGCTATGGTCAACTTTCCCTTGTTTTGATCTCAAATCCACTTTCCTATAACTTCCATTCAAAAGTCCTTTTATCTTTATGCCTCCCATACCATTTCTCAACTTCTTCAACTCACTCAAAATAAATTCTGGAATCCAGAAAACTTATTCTGCCACAGTATGTTGATCAGTGGCTTAGACTCTTATGAAACTCATTCATAAGTTGACTCTGCCCTGACTTTTGAACATCACAGCTTCAGATCTGGGAAAAGTCAGAGGAACTAAGGAACCTAGTACTTTGTTGCATGAAATCATTTTTTGCCAACATAGTGGCATATGTTGATGGGAGAATCTGAATGTTTTCTGAATAAGTTTCGGTATCAAACATACAGTGCCATTTATGATTAGTTTATAATGATATTGTGTGACTTTCATAATATTAGACATGGATCCCAATGAGGGCCAGTGTGGGGAGGGGAAGCCAGATATTCAATATCTTGTTTGATGTTCTATATCCAGGAATAGAATTTGTTCCAGTTACACAATGTTATGGCACCGGCGATTCTGTACTATAGGCAGCTGTGTACCTGCTTGTCTCTGCCCTAGACTGTGGGATCCTTGGAGGCAGGAAGCATATCTTCTCCATCACTGTGCCCTCAGGAGTGGCACAGGATAGGCTCTCTGCAAGTGTTTATTGGATAAAATGATTAATAAAAGATGCTCATTCCCTGGCTGGGTTACCAGTTCCCAGGGCTTCATCAGTGGTGTACTCTGATTTCGGCCTTGCATTATGTATCTCAGCACACTTACACTCATAGGAGAGCACATCTAGGACAGCAGACCTCAGATGTAGAGATCATGAAGTGACTTACACGACAGGAGAATTACTTACTTTAAAAAAAGATTTGCCACACAGCCATCCTAAACAATGAACTCCCCTCCAACATTAAAAATGATCCAATTTCTAAAACTTTGGGGCCAGGTATAATGGCTCATACCTGTAATCCCAGCTTAAACCTTTGAGAGGTGGAGGCAGGTGGATCACTTGAGGCCAGGAGCTCAAGACCAGACTGGCCAACATGGCAAAATCCCATCTCTCCTGAAAATACAAAATAATTAACTGGGCACGATGGTACATACCTGTAATCCCAGGTATTCAGAGGACTCAGGCAGTAAAATCACATGAACCCAGGAGGTGGAAGGTGCAGTGAACCAAGGTTGCACCATTGCACCCCAGCCTGGGCAACAGAGCAAGATTCTCCATCTCTAAAAACAAAATAAAAAACTGGTCAGCAATTGATGCACATATCATAGGGGAATGATACCCCACTCTGCTACTGGAGACACGATGGGTCTGTGGTGAACGATATGTTTGGGTCCAGCCCTGCCAAACTCAGAGATCGACCTTGACATCACTTTGATCTTTTCCACAGTTCTACTGCCATTTGCCATCAAATCCAGGGACCTGGGGAAAAGTCAGAAGAAAGAATTTTCAGCATTTGAGAGAAGTTCCTTTTCTCCGATCTCAAGTCAAGCAAAGCTTAGTGAATGTGGCACATAAGGCCCAGGCCCCCTGTCCTTGGAAGCGTGTACACTGCAATACTGTACATCCTTGTGGTCCCTAGGGTCAAGGATAGGAGGTCCACGTTTAAGTGCTCTTACTTAATCATAACAGCCTATGCAGCATTTTTCAGATAATGGAGCTAAAGCTTAGAGAGATTAATGTCACCCAAAGTCACACAGACTTGACAGTTGGGCTTTAAACTCAGGCCTGTTGATGTCCACACGGGGAGAACCAGAGCTCCCAAGGCCTTCCCCAGGCAGAACGTGTCTGGCCCACAGCATGAGAGAAGGGGCACTGCCACCTTTGGCTTCTTGGGCAGGGTAACTGTTCTCTTCAGGATTTGATTTCTTCTCACATGCAGAGAATTTCTTTGCTTTCTGCTTCTATTTGTAAATTACTTAGAAAAACCTGTCTGGGAGTCCATTCTGCTGTCAGTGCAATGGGAAGTAGGAAGCCTGCAGGTGAGTGGGGTGCCAGTGATTTCCTGTCATGGGGGGCTGGACTGGGTCCTGACACCACTCTGCTGTTACTTCCCCCGCCTTCTTTCCCAGTCTCCCCATGCCTTTTTCTGCACACTCAGTCCATAGGATCAGGGAGACGCCACAGTGGTCCCGGCATCCCCAGACTTCAATTCTGTCTTGGAGAGTGTCAGATAGAGAGCCTGGCTTCCACATACCCAACTTGGGGCTTGGTTTAGTCTATGAGCCAAGAAAAGGAGAGAAAGTCTATCTGGAGTCCTTCATAATCTCCAGACTAAAAGAGAGTGTCATTGTGGGATAACGAATGTCCTCAGGTGGTCTCTCTTCAGGTCTTTGCCTAGAGTGAGCCATTTATGTTGCACAGGAATGGCCTCAGGATGGCTAGGATGGTCCTATCCCCTGAGAATGAAGGGGCTAGAATAAAATGGGCAAATTAGTTTGCTTGCCATTTTTCACCCTAGCCAGAGGAAGCTTTGTAAAAGATGGCTCTAATCTGATTAGAACCAAGTTGATAATCTCCTTGCCTCATCTGCAAAATCCTAGCCCTTCACCCTTGCCCCACCCACCCCTTCTCCTAGTCAGTCTCTTCCCCACCCCATCTCCACCCATGCTTTGCCCTCATTGTACCTCCTCTTCATCCTCAAACACCCCATGCACTTTGACACTATTGAGACTTTGCTGTGCCTTCTACCTGAAGTAGCCCTCCCTCAATCCTCTCCTCACCATCTACACCCAGCTCAGTTGTCACCTGCTTGCTGTAGCTTGCCACATGTCAGGCAAAATTGATTGCCCCTCATGCAAATTGCCATAGCACTTTGAATGCATCTCTATCACTCTTCACATCATATGAGAGCTATTTCTTCATATGTCTGTCTCACTGGTTGGACAATGCACTCTTTGGTGGGGAGTGATTATTTCATATTCCCGTATATCCCTGGGCCCCAGAACATAGGACGGGCTCCGTGAATGTTGTTGGAAAGGGGCTGCCACAGTGGAAGATATTCTTTGTTCTTCAAGGGGGTCCTGGGCAGCTCCCAGGGGTCAAGTACAGAAGACAGGCTCCTAAGTGACAGGACCTCTTCTCCCTCCCTTACCAAATTGTCTAGTAAGGCACAGCTTGGGTCCACCAGCTCTAGTGTAAAAGGTCATTCACTAAAGTCAGAATTAGGTTTGGGAGCTCAAAGGCTTTTTTGAAGGACATCAGGGTTACTTTTTAAACCTGTGATGATGATTTAGAGGGGTGGAGACAGAGAGTTGGGGTTGACAATTTTGAGCTGGGAAACTTAGAGCAAATTGCTTAATCTCTCTGAGGTACAATATCCTCATCTATACAACTGGGGAAATACTACATACCTCATGTTGCTGTGGAGATTAAGAACTACTCTTTATTGAATTCATTATAGAGCTACAGGCTCTACAAATACCACCCAGTGAGAAAGTAACAAAGACAGAATCAGAAGTTGTACCACAATACAATATGAAAAGGACATTAGAAACTGTGAACATCTACAAAAATGTTAGCTGTAGCTGTTTCTTTTTCTTTTCTTTTCTTTTCTTTTGAGATGGAATCTCACTCAGTTGCCCAGGCTGGAGTGCAATGGCACAATCTCAGCTCAGTACAACCTCCACTTCCTGGGTTCAAGGGACTCTCCTGCCTCAGCCTCCTGAGTAGGTAGGATTACAGGCATGTACCAACATGCCTGGCTAATTTTTCTTTTTTTTTGTATTTTTAATAGAGACAGGGTTTTATCATGTGGGCCAGGCTGGTCTTGCCCTCCTGACCTCAAGTGACCCATCCGCCTCGGCTTCTCAAAGTGCTGGGATTACAGAGCTATAACTATTTCTTGAAAGCACATTTAGATTTTAAAGTCTTTGTCCTGTTGCAAACTGACACTAGAAAAAGAAAGACATTTTTTTCTGGGCCACTATGAGTAGATGTTGCAGGAAATGCAATGGTGAAGGGGTTGTAGGGACAACTAGTCGTCCACCAACAAATTGTACCTCACCTTCCATAGGCTTAATAGTTTCTGAGAAGTGGCAGCCCAGCCAGGGATTGCACTTCCTGGCTCCCCTTTCATGTAGGTGGGGCTATGTCATACATTCTCCTGTAGAATGTGATCAGAAGAGACAGGCGTCACTTGCAGGTCAAGATAGTTAAGAAGAGGTGTGAATTGCCAAAAGACAGAAGCAACTCGGGTGTCCCTCATGGATGAGTGGATAAACAAAGTGTGGTGTATATTGCAATGGAAGGAAATTCTGACACGTGCTAAAACATGGATAAACCTTGAAGACATTATACTAAATGAAATAAGCCAGTCACAAAAGGACAAATCCTATATAATTCCACTTATATGAGATACCTAGAATAGTCAAATTCATAGAAACAGAGAGCAGAATGGTGGGTTTCCAGGGGCTGAGGAAAGGAGGGAAATGGGGATTTTGTGTTGCTTAATGAGGTCTGAGTTTCAGTTTGGAAAGATGAAAGAGTTCTGGAGATGTATGGTGATAATAGCTGTAAAACAATGTCAGTGTACTTAATGCCACTGAACTGCACACTTAAAATGCCTAAATTGGTACATTTCTGTGCTTTGTATATTTTACAATAGTTAAAAAAGAAAGAAGGAAGAATGAAGAAAAAAGAGGAGAAGGAGGAGGAGGAGAAGCAGCTGTGACTTCTTCATATCTGCCAGTTAGAGGCAGAGAGCTTTTAGGTCATAGGATAAAAGAACCACACAAGGGAAATAGCCTGGCCCTTGAATCCGCATGACAAGAGGCCCTTACTGACTAGGAATCTGACATTGGGTGATAAATGGACTTCCAATGTGTTAAGTTATTGAAATTGGGGTTCAGTCTTTTGCAGCAGCTAACAGAACCTGAGCACAACCTGCAGCTGATATTCGATGTGGCAAAATGGTTAAGGGTGCATCAGGGTCCCCTGTGAGAGAGATGGGGAGTAGTTTCAGAAATGGGCGTGATTTGAGATAGAAAAGACATTTCTGCTGAGGGCCCATCTTCAAGTTCAGCCGTTCTCAAAAACTAAGTTACAATCCCTTGTCTGCAAGGACTTTGTTTCTAAGGAAACTCAGAGAAGCTTATCTCCTTGAAAGACACGTCACCCATTCGGAACTGGATGTGGGCTTGGGGCATGGAAGGCAGGGGAAGAAGGAGACTGTGGTCCTCAGTCTGTGAGGGGTAGGCATGAGACCAGTCCCTACATGCTCTCCTAGGCAGATCATGTCCTGGGTAAGTGGCTCTGCAGTTCCATTTGAGTGGCAGCCCCTTAGCTGAGCATAGCATTGAAAGAAGCAGGGATTGTCATGTCTTGTGCTGGAAGAAAAATTGTCAGTAGGATATATACCATGGGTGCTGTCTGTGACTGAAGCTAGCCACAAACTCCAAGATCAGCAGCAAAGAAAGTCCCAGCATAGGAGTATAGAGGAGATGGGAGTGACCAGGACAAGCTCTGGGGCTCAAATGGGGCTGTGGAATTTCAACTGCAGCCAGTGTGTGAAAGGCCTTTTCTGGCTGTCCAGGTTCCAGCCCCTCTGGCTCTGGCACCCCTGGGACCCCTGGGCATAGCAGGGGCTGAGGAGCCTCACAGCCTCCAGGCATGCATCTGAGGTGGCTCTGGTGGCCTAGGAGACCAGGACTGGCCCTTGGCTTTCTGATAAGCATCCTGGTAACCTGGACTTCTTGGGCTCATCACAGAAAAATTACCCTGGTAAAGAGAGAAGGCCATTCTTTCCATAGGGGAGATGAGGCTAGAGCCAAACACACAGAACACATAGAAGAGATGCAGCCTCACTTCATTCCTCAGTTTTGCAAAGAATTTACTATTTTAATGAATTAGGGCAATTCAAGTTCACCTTGTAATAACAATACTCTTACTATGATGTATTCTTTCTTTATTCCAAAGCTAGAGAGGAAGAGGTGAAGTTAGGTTTGGGAGCTGGGAATTATACACAAATATGACAGTTGTGTCAAAATCTGGCAATGTCCATAGGGGTGAATCATGTAGGTAAAGGTCACATGAGTTGCATTAAAATACAAGTTGAAAAGGATTGGTTTTATAGGTTTTTATCAGGGATTTAATGTTTATTAAATGTATGAATGCTTCGCTGTCCCTTATTATAGTATAAGAGCTCCAGAATTCTCCCACAGTGGCATCAACACTGCTGTGAGTTCTTACCTCTCTTTAGCTTGCCCCTGGAATTCACCCAGTGATATGACACCAGGTTCTGAGGCCTCCAGAGATGACAGACAGCAGAACATTCACAGAAAAGATAAAATGCAGACCCTGCCTCTCTTTGCATCCCGTCTGTTGGAGTTTCCTGGAGTCAGTCCTCCATCTTCCTACAAGGTGGTGCCTGTTTCTTTCTCTCACTCTGGGTTAATGTTTGTGTTTTCCTTCACCAAGGCCCC